CCAGGCGGGTCTCAAACCCGTGGGCTCAGGCAATCCACTCACCTCAGTCTCCCAAAGCACGGGATTACAGGCTGAGTCACCGAGCCCGGCTATCCTCCTTACAATGCAGGTGTGGAGTCATGACTGTGCCTGTTTGCTTTCCTGCCTGGACACTTCTAGAGAGCAGAGAGGGGGCAGACGGCACCATCTGGACCCCAGTGTTCAGGTAGTAATCCCACATTTTCCTTCCACTTCTCAAAATCGGTTGTCTCCTAAAACCACAGCAGTCAAGAGTCACAGATTTCACCACCAAGTCCTAGCTGCCATGTTTGTTTCTTCACTGTAGATCAAGGGGAAAGTCAGAACCAAGCAGGCTAAGCTTTAATTAGTGGCAGGCTCGGAGGGGCTGAGCCGTGCCCCAGCCAGGAGCTTTCCCAGAGAATGCCAGGCCTGCCCCGGCTGGGGATACAAAACCATCAGGAAAGATGCAGGGGAACGCCCTTGCAGAAGTTCTGCCTGGGCAGTCTCAGAGCTCGGAGTAGCTTTCACATCCTCACCCCAGAATGTTCAGGAAAGAGCCCGGGTGCTGCCCTGTCCTGGGAAGCAGACGATGGTGGGAAGCAAAGACAGATTTTCTGAAACACCTTTCAAGCCTTTTTTTTATCCGTTGAGTCCAGGTCTCACTCTGTTGCCCAGACTGGAGTGCAGTGGCACCATCACAGCTCACCACAGCCTTGACCACCTGGAGTCAGGTCATCCTCTTGTCTCAGCCTCACAAGTAGCTGGGACTACAGGCATGCACCACCACACCCAGCTAATTGTGTGTGTGTGTGTGTGTGAAGATGAGTTCTCACTGGTCATGAACTCCTGAGCTCAAGCATTCCTCCTACCTCAGCCTCCCAAAGTGCTGGGATTATAGGTGTGAGCCACCACGCCAGGCCTCGAAACCCTGACAGAGCCCTTGAGTAACTCAGTCACTTTGGAACCCAAGTGTCCACCTCAGGGTCACCGGCTTTCCAAGGCCAACTTCATCCAACCCACAGTGGGCAGTCCCTGGCTTGCATCTGTTGTAGATGCTCGTCTTCTGCAGCCTAGCTGAGGCCAGTCAAGGCTCACACGCCGCCCCAGTTTCCCTGGGAGCCAGACTCTGGGCACCTTCCTCCAGTCCCGAAGCCACTACCCAGCGCCACACCTGAAGGCCCATTGTAAGCCATACGGCTCTCACCCTCGACCTCTGGACCTGCTCCCGAGGGCCCAAGGGCCTCACTGGGGCAGCAAGAACAGTTGCTGGGCCCAAGCACCAGGCCTGTGGGAGTCGGTCTCCCCAGGGGTGCTGCCTCCCCAGTGGTGCTGGCGGCATCTGGACCGCAGATCTGGGGAGCGCAGGCAGCGCCCAGCCTCCTTCCGTATCCCTGCAGCACTGGGCATGCCACGCCCACCTAGTGGCATGACCCCTTCTTGCATGTCATACCAACAGCCCGGGCCGCCCGCTGCCCCCATCTATAACGTAGGTTAAACGCCAGCATATGGAACAGAGACACCACTCTGTCCGAGGGCAGGCCGCAGGGCCCAGCACCACCTCAGACCCACTACTGCTTTGCTCTAATCCGGTCCACAGCCATCCTGAGAGCCTCTGGGGAGCCTGAGGGTTCCACGGGACACCGTTTGAGAAACACCAGTGTAGACCTCATACCTGGCCTGGCCGGAGGCCTCGAGGGACAGCACGGCCGACCAGACGAGGCCCGCGAACATCCACCCGGAGACCAAGAAGGGCCCCCGTCCGTACCCTGTGCCCACCCCCCCCGGTCCCCTCCCCCCTACCTGGAAGCGGCGATCTCGGCCTTCTGCTTGGCGATGGTGGCGGCGCGCTCGGCGGCCTCGACGGCCCGGTCCACCTTCTCGCGGATCTTGCTGGCGCGCAGCGGGATGAGGTTCTTGCGCTTGCCGCTGACCAGCACGTTCTGCTTGTATTTGCCCTCCTCCTTGGTGCCGTCCGGGAAGGTCATGCAGCCGTAGCCGTGGCGCCGGTTGCCGGCCCACTCGCCCTCGTACTTGAGCCCGTCCGAGCGCTGGCTCACGCCGAAGCCGGCCCGCTTGTCGTTTTTCCACTCGCCCACGTAGGCCTCGGTGGTGGTGGCGTCGATGTCGTCCTCGATGACGGCCAGCTCGGCCTCCGCCTCCCCCAGGCTGATGGTGGAGTGGACGTCGCTGGCCGTGGAGCTGACGGTGCTCATGCCCGCCTCGCTGCGGAACGAGCTCTGCTTGCTGCGCTGGCTGGCCAGGCTGCTCTTGGACTCCGACTTGCGCAGCTTCAGGCCGCTCAGCAGCGAGCGCCGGAACAGCCCCTTCTTCTTGCTCTTGAGGACCTCGGAGTCGCTGTGGGCCACCAGCACAAAGCCCCCCCGGGACACGGCCGGGCTGCCGGCCACCGCCGGGGCCGCGTCAGGGTGCAGCGCCGTGCCGTTGGTGTGCTCGCTGCGCAGGGAGTTGATGGACGTCCTCAGGGGCGAGCGGATGACCGCAGCCATGCCGTAGGGGACGCTCTGCCGCACGCCATAGCCCTGGCGCATGCCGCCGACCCACTGGCCCTGGTATGTCCCTGGGGAGATAAGAGAGCGGTTGAGCGCCTGGGGGGGAAGGACGTGGGATGGGTACGTCCACAGTGGGCCAGTGTGGCCACGGCTCTGTCCGTATTCCCCCTCCCAAGGCCCGTGGGGTCTGGGTGGGGCAGACAGACCACAGGGCACTCTTACAAGCTGTCTCCATGGTCATGTTTCCCCTGGTGGGGCTTTGTTCTCTCAGGCTTAGAAAATGGAGGAGAGGGGCTCCTGTGATGTGGAGTGAGGAGTTCAGGACTCAGAGAGAGCCAGGAGCCTCGGTCCGAGGGCAGAGGCCCTGAGAGAAGGCTGGGTTGGAGGTTAGGGAGGAGAGGACAGGGCACATCCTAGGGAGCCGGGCAGTGGGTGGGAGCTAGCACCTCCCCCTCAGGATGCAGCAGTGCTCAGACAGGATCTTTGAAGAGGTGATTAAGTTGCAACATCAAAAGCAGACAGTCATGGCCGGTGATCCCCAAGCAAGCCCCAGCTCTGGAAAGGGGACCGGGTAAGCAGGGTGTCCCAAAGTCTCCCCGACTTTGTTCTTAAAGATCCTCAGACTCCACATCAACCGGATCTGTGCCTGGGTTCTGTCATAGTGTGTCCCTTCCCTTGGGGGATGCCCTGTCCCTCGAGGCCTGTCTCCGTCCCTGCTGGACCTAGGCTGTGGGTGGCAAGGCCAGGCTATCCACATGGCCAATGTAGAGCTGATGGGGGAGTGTTACTGTGTATCCAAATCCACTTTCTTATTGATACCCATTATAAAATCAGACATGGCTGGGTGCAGTGGCTCATGCCTATAATCCCAGCACTTTGGGAGGCCGAGGTGAGAGAACTGCCTGAGTCCGCGGGTTCGAGACCAGCCTGGACAACTTGGCAATACCTCGCCTCTACAATAAATCAAACATTAGCCAGGCATGGGAGCACGCACCTGTAGTTCTGACTACTTGGAAGGCTGAGTCTAAAGGATTGTTAGAGCCCAGCAGGTCAACACTGGGGTGGCTGTGAGTGTGTCACTGCACCCCCGTCTGGGTGGCGGAGTAAGACTTCAACTCAAAAACAAAAAAGAAACCACCGGTTCAAGAACAGCCTGGGCAACTTGGCGAGACCTCATCTCTACAATAAATCAAAAAATTAGCTGGGCATGGCGGCGCGTGCCTGTAGTTCCAGCTACTTGGAAGACTGAGGCAGAAGGATTGCCTGAGCCTAGCA